ATCATTTAGATTGATGGGTCACTAAATTCTCATAACTGATATAAAAGACGTTACAATCCAGAGTAAAGAGAATTTGGGCACGTAAAAATGGCCACAAAATAAAGTGAAAATTAACCTTTCGTCCATATTTATGCGATAATCAGCTGGTGTCACGGGCGATTCGTCTTCGCGTGATGTGTTTTTCTCTTACAACTAGTTAGACTATAGTTTCATGACATGCTTTACCAATCAGTGGAGAAGCGAGCAAGCGAAAAACCAAACAAATCATGGCGACTCTTCCCTCGAGAATTAGAAACTACGCAATACCTCAATCCTCACTTGTTGAAAACGCGACACAATTTGTAAGCAATTACTCAAACTAAGGACTTTACGGACGCGAACAGCTACCTTTGAGTTGCCTTACCCGTTTGAGAAGAAGAGAGACACTGGGAAAGAGTTTCCATGGTCTCTTAATACAAAGGAAACAATAAGCAAATATGTAACGCCGAAGAACTTAACTGAATGTGCACTAGCGAATCATGCATAAGTCTGTACTCCAAGGTAATACTTCAATAGAACATGGAACCATTGCTGAGTGCCAAGACAACAGTGAAAGATTATAGCCAAAACTCAAACTCCTAGAAGCGTTAGTCATGCGGTCAGGATCATACTTCCCTTCTCGCGATTTCCACGAGGGCTAACTTATTTTCGTTACCAAGAGTCGGGAACTAAATTAATTTAATAGGCCAATTCGATATATTAATATTCTGCATGGCGGAAGGAATATAACACAAAAGAAATTATGTCGTGGTCCAAATAAAATAATTAATTTCGGTTCTCGGGAAAAAGGAACAAATATAAATTTGTCAGCCACTAGAAAAATTGTTTAGACAATGCTCAATTATTGGCTACTCCGTGGCTGTCACATTAACCGCGAGGTCGGAGTTTTGATCCAACGTGGCGTTTATGTTTTGTTCTGAATACGTAAAAGTGAAAGTGACGGTCCCAGATGATTTCTGACAAATTAGCTCGCGTTGTGCCCTTGAAAGATAATAAAGAGAAAACATATTTACTTAGCATTCCTACGCGTTTCGAGTCGTGACCTTGCACCTCGTTTTCAATTCCGTAATACAATGCTCAAAGGCTTTGATTATCTTAAAAACATTTACAAATTCTTATAAGATTAAATTTGGAAATACAGTTAACAATAAAGATTAGCGAAAAAACTGAGCAACGAC